TTTTTTTCTTCATCTTTTGAAGTTTTTACTCGCGGGATTTTCATTTCTTCAGGCTTTCCTTCCATTGATTTCCCCTGGATTCAAATTTCTCTTTCATTAAAATTTAGTTTAATTGTTTTCGACTTTCGTTGGTACGGCTCATTTTGAGTCAATATCAAAGTAACCTCAAATTGACGCCTGACCGTCCATTACTAGTTTCGCCAGCCTGATTGATAATAACTTGCTTGTTATACCCAAATGAACCATTTTTGGAGATATCCAGTGTACAGCGGAGCTGTACGGATATCGGCGGAGATACCGTACATACGCTATACGTGTGAGCGAAACAGCACTCTTTGCTGTGTTTAAATTTCTATTGTTCAATACACATTTAAGTAGCCATGAGCGCACTGCTTCAGATATAGTGTATGTATGGCATCTCCGCCGAACTCCGCACAGCTCCGCTGTGCACTGAATTTCTCCGCAAATGGTTCACATGGGATAGCAAAAAGGAACCATTCTACTTTTGAACAATGGACAAACGATTTGAGTTTGTGGACCACAAATTGTGGATTCAAAATCAAGGACAATATTCTGATCGAAAATGTTGACCAAAATTGCTGTAGAGAATAAAGTTTCGGCAGTTAAGAGGGTATAATATTCTAAGGGTCCTAGGCTATGGCTAGTAGCCATTGGATACCCAGAAAAATGAACAAAAAGAGATGTGAAATCAAATATTCCTCATGAAGTTTCATTCATGTCCGACAGATAATGTTCCCAAAGGTGGGAAGCCAATTGAAACAGGGCATAACTTATCGATAAAATTGAAAATGAATTGCAAATGATAATATCAAGAAATGATGAGGACCCGTGGAAGTGAAAAAAAAATTTACATGGGAATCTTAAATAAAGATAATGAAAACTGATTAGTTGCACATGTATATCACCTTGGTTGTGAAGTTAAAGAATTCCTCTCTCAAAGACTAGCGCCTTACAAATGCAAAGAAGAGAAATTTGGACTGGAATTGTTGCAAAAAAATTTCAATATCGATCGCTCAACTGAATGTGAAAATTCAGGGAAAACAATATCGATTGAAATTCCAAGAAAATGTCCTTTAAATCAATACGAAAATCCATGATGACGTGAAAAACATTCGAATGAATGATCGAACTTTAATTGAAACTTCATTCGAAATGAAATGGTCATTGACCATTGGTCAAACAGTTTTTAAAATAATGACAAAATAATTCGTCAAGACACAACGATTTCCCTACCCAATAAGTAATTGGGAAGTGTGTACACACCTGTTCAGTGTTCAGATGTCTCAAATGGGTTTTCCCTTGAAATCGGGTTATCATCTACGTTCCCTCCCTACATGTGTGTATGTATGATTATTTTTGTTTTGTTTTTATTGTTATTGTTGTTGTTTTAATTTCATCAGATTGGTTCTTAAACCTTACTGCTTAATAAATTACATGTATATATAAAAATTGTATGTTTGTAGACGCTGTTCACTGTGTGTATGTGTGTGAGAGAGAGTTTTCATTAATTTGTCAGTTATTCTCTGTTTTTGCTTAAATCGTATTTTTGTAGATGTATTAATATTTGTTGTTATTCGTTTTGTGTTTCTTTTTAATTCGAACATTGTACAATATTTAAATATGTGGTTGTTTGAGCGTCGAAGGAATTGATCGAAAAAATTGGGGTTAACGGAAGCTCTTTGAAATGATGTGTCTCTGTGTGTGTATTTGTTTTTTTTTTCATTTCTTTATTATTTTACTGTTTTTTTTTGGTTTGAGTAAATAGATTTCAAAGCCTTTTGAAGCTGATAACTAACTATTGTTATATTATTTGGAATTAGATTTTGTTTATTTATTTGTTTATTTATTTGTTTTTTTTTGCAATCTTCTTTTCTACATTCATTTTTTTTTCGTCGAATATGAACCAAGATCGAATAGAATCGAACTCACTTGGTTTCGCATTCAGTTTTTTTTGATGAAATTTGTATTTTACACAAAACAAGACAAGAAGGGGGGATTTGTCATTGCGGAATGTGCCATTTCAACAGAAAAGTTTCGCGTAAAAGCAGATCTTTTCCATTCAGGCATAAGGAAAATCTTTTTTTATTTATTTTACTTTACATTTTTGTTAAACAAATGTTGCTCGAGAATAGGCTGAAGTGGAATTATTGACCAGCCAGTAACGTTAAAGCTTTTCTTTGTGTTAAGAAGTTGGTTATTTTTTTAGGGAATAGAAAGAATAAGAATTCAATGAGTGACATTATTCTCTTTTTGTTTTTGAGCACAAAATGACACAATTATTACGAATTAAAACAAGTAATTTTTTTAATTCGTAATGGTAAACAGATGTGTGTTTCCGACAAATTTGCGCAAAATTTCACCTGGGTTCGTTAGTTGGGCTTAAATGATGATGATTGGTACTTAAATATAAATTCCACCAGTTCACAAGAGGATGTAAATTTTGAACTACTCTCATCGGCAATGTTGTAGATCTTGACGAAATAAGAAACATTCATGGAGAGGAAATAGCACCAGTTTCCAAACTTGGCGCGCTGTTTAGTTTCGAAATTGTATATTATTTTGGCTTGCCCTTTAAAATTGGGGGAGCTGTATTCGCCTCAATTTACTATGACATCTCAACTGCCGCTTCCACATTGCTGAACAAGTCACCTCTAAAAATTCACCGCTTTGAGTTTAAGGTTGACATAGAATTTATCGAAATTTAAGGGTGATTTTTTTCCGTGTTTTGGAGTGTTCAGCAATGTTTCTCATCTCGTCAAGATCTACAACTTTGCCGATGAGAGTATAGCAAAATTCTCAGTTAAAGATTTTAGATTTTAGGAAATCGACGATTTTCCGTACTTCTGGGGCCCAAGGGAAACCTATATGAACTGAAGGAAGTTATATTTGTACCAATTGTCATCATTTGAGCCCAACCAACAAACTCAGGTGGAATTTTGCGATTTCATTTCTGAAACACGCAATACGTTTACTGGTCAGAATATAATTGAATTCAAACAAATAATTTAATTAGAAATGGCAATTTATTGCAAAACGAGTGATTAGCGGAAAACCAGTTGAAATTCAATCTATTTTCCAGAGATGAATCAATTCAAAAACGAAGCAAAGCAATGCATTTCCCGAAATTCTTTGAAATGAAATTTAATCTTGTTTTGCTGGTTCAAAATATAAACAGTTTCACAGGCAATTTGTTCTATGAATGACTGGAAAGCTCTTCTTTTCCAGTGACAGACATCGTTTTTTGGTTCTTTCATTGTGATAAACTGGATGAATTGATAGCAGTTATGAAACTTATTGCTACGAATGTAATCAGTTAATTAACTGATGATTGTATCAGTATTTTGCAATGCGAAATCTTGCAAATCCTTCATTGATATTTTTTTCATTTTTGACGAACAAACTGTTTTCCTATTGGAATTTCGTTTTGCCGCCTCAAAGTTGCCATTGTTTGGCAGAAAGTGTCAAGTTGACATTGCCATCCAGTCGTTTTCACTATCGCTCGATTCAATTTCAAAAAGAAAGATTTGCAATGTTTCAATTCTTCGACTTAGGACCATCCTTAAAGTGTTTTGGAAATGCTGTGAAAAAAAATAAAATGGAATATTACCCGTGACTCGTATATCACCGTGCTTTTGTGTATATGTCTATATGATGATTGATATATCATCAAAGGAAAAATCTGTAATTATTTTGGTTGCTGTTGCTGTTTTCATCGTCGTCGTCGTCATCGTCGTCGTCGCATATTTGAACTAATAAATGTGTATGTGTGCCGCAAATGATATTACCTCGATGTACGGACTATGGTGCCTGGGCTCCTGAATTCATACAATTGTTTTTGTTCTGGCTTGTTTGGTTCGAAAATGGCAAATGGGCCATATTCAGTAAGTAAGCTGCGTATAGGATTCATAGAGGCGCCATCTATCGCTGCGCTTTTGAACTCTTATGTATTCCATTGACATCAATGATATATATTGGGGAAAGATAGTGGCGCCACGCTTTATTCTCATGCTTTATTCGTGAAGTTTTAGAAGAAAGTTCATACGCTGTCATCAATGTATTTACATTGGCTGTATGGTCCCATTGGAAAATGGTTTTGATCGCGTGGTACAGTGCCACTGACGCCACAAATAAACTCCATTAGTGTGATTTTTGCAGAGGAAATGGGATTCACTATCCGAATGCAATTGGAAATTACTTTTAGGCACGTTATGGACGTTGCCTACGCCACGTTTGGAAAAATAATACCCAGCTGTGTTATGAGTATATGCTGTCTGTACAAAAGCAATGCAAACTAAACTCTGAACGGTTTTGGATTTACTAAATTTATTACCATTGCGCTTCACTGTGTTGATATAACACGCTCTGGTAAATAGATGCACGAATTATTGAAGCTGATGGAAATTGTGTGTCGGCCATCGAGTTGTTGATATCACGGGAGATGCGCAAAAAATAAAATCGACGTCATTTACGTGAGTATTTTGCAATTATAATTTTTTTTATTCGTAATGCAATCGTCACCGAATAGTGTGTGCGCCTCATGGAGCCCAGCATTTTGGCGAGAGAAAAAAAATCACAAAACTATTTTCTTGCCTGCCTCCTTATCATTTAGCTGTAGTATCGTAAACCATCCTAATTGTAACATAGTTCCAAAATAAACCATTTTTCTAAAAAAAAATACAATTAAGTCATATATTCATATCGGAAGATTTTTTCGTGTTCTTCTCAAATATGATATAAAAAACAACAGTTTCCCTTCAAAGTTTTGCAGAAAATTAGTCTATTTGCGCAATTGTTACAACTTAGACTATGTTACAATTTGGATGGTTTACGATATTTGGTTCCGTTTATCTTGTTTTCCTTCTCTCATAACAATTGCTCACCCTGCTGCACATCGTACTACATATTTGCGGTTTATTTCATCTCTAACATTGTTTTTATTCAATTCAAATAAATTGTTCTTGTGTTTACACTCTAAAATAGTTTTTGGTTTTTTTTTTTTAATTTTTGCACTACAACACATTGTCTCAGTTGATCCAAATATAAATTGTTTAGCGTTTTGTTTTAGTCCATTTCGGATGTGTGTGTGTATGTGTGTGTATGTTCTTTTTTTTGGTTTGGTTTTTGTTTCATTATTCATAATATTAATATAATTAATTTCTTTAAATTTTAGTAACTTACTTATTGACTACTATAAATTGTGTGTGTGTGTGTGTGGTTTTATTATTGATGGTGGAATGATGTCAGTCAGATTAGAATGTCTCCATAACAAACACACATCAAGATTATGGCCGATGGAGGAGAGAGAGAGAGAAAAATGATGTTTTGAATGTAAATCCAGCCAAGGGTTCATTTTTTGTCGAAACTTTGTAAGTTCTTTGATATTGCTTATGGGCTGGACTGGACTGAAAATTCACCCTTTCTCCCTCTCTCTCTCTCAACCACCATCATGTCACACAATTATTTATTTCTTCTTCTTCTTCTTCCTTCTTGCACACACAGCACACACACATACGCACCCACACCCACACATATTCCACACTGACTGACATCGTTGCATATCCGAAGAAAATGCTGTGTATTTTGCTCTGAACAAATGTGTGTGCATGCGTGTGTGCGTGTGTGTTCTATTAATTTTTGCTAAATTAAATTTTATGGGGTTTTGTTCAACGATTACACACAATTATTCATTATCATCGTCAATTTTGTTCAATTCGATAGACAAAGTTCTCTAAATGAAAGAATAGTAAAAACATGTTGCTCTCTTAAAGAATCTCATTTCATATTTTATATATACGATACGTATAAGAAAGAATGAAATTCATCAATACAAATCAAGTGAAATCAATAAGTTTGTTTCGAAGAAAAAAAAACGGATTTTTTTTTCCTCTCTTTTTTTTAAAAAATATATTTGTGTTTGCTTTTTTTTTGGTTGTTGTCTCTTTTTTGATCTCTCTAAAAAGGTAGCAACAATATTGGTGCAATCGGTTGTGCTTTCAATGCAATTGTTAGACGATGGAATCTTTTTCTCTATCTCGAAATTTTGAGTTACATTCAAAATTATCAGAACTGTGTATCGCCAACAGTTCAATTGTCACCAACGTTGTTCCATCTTCCAATAAATAATTATTCATAAATTTTTCTTCTCTTTTTTGTTGCTAATGGCTGTGACTTTGTGTATTTTATTTCATTAAATTATCAAGTAGTTGTTGATTTTTTTTTTGTTTTTTTGCTTTAAATCACATATTCTTTTGTGTGTGTGTGGGTGTTTTTTGTTTGTGGTTGTGTGTGTATGTGTATGTGTGAAAAATTTCTTAAACACCTAATTCTAGAGAATTTGTTCATGTTTTATTTTTAATATAATTTTTTTGTTTCTTTATTTATATGGTCACGGTCGTGTGTCAGTAACGTTTTGCTCATATCTCTTCAAAAAAATAATTAAAACTCATAGTTTTTCTATTGTATATGATAGAACTCCCCAAGACTGATAATTCAATGGCTTAAAGTATTGTCTATCACTTGTGAATACGGAGTTATAAGTGTTCAAAGTTCTCAGTAACGTTACGTAATTTTTGAAGTGATTTTCGGGGTTACTTCATATTATCAAAAAAATTGGCGAATCAAGCGATTTATTTTTCGTGTCATAACCATGAATTTAAAGATAAAGGATCAAAGAAACGATAGAAATGGTAATTACGCTGAAAAACATATTTTTGGTGGATCTACAGACGTTAAAGTGACGTCAGTAACGTTACACAAAACGTCAGTAACGTTACAAGTACAAACTTCGTGACAAAAAAAAACCGGATGCGATAAGAAGAATGTGATTTCTGTCGACTGAATATTAAAATTTGAACCTTTTTCTTTAAGAATATGTATTTAACCTACTAATTTTGTACATTTTTGATAGAAATTTATGCCCCCGAAAAAGAGTCCACAAAAAGTCGAAAAATGACAAAAAAAATCGCAATTTTGATAAGAAAAAATAATCCAAATTCCATGAAATTCTCAGAATATATTGAGTTTTTGTAATAATAGTTTGGGGCAAAATTTCATAGCAATCTAATAACTTTAAGACCATTTTTTCTCCACTTTTAACTTTTTTTCCGTGGTTTCGTCTTGCGTGACCGTGCCCATATATTCATTCATGTTGCTAGTTTTGGTTGCTTTTTTATGGTTCATCATTATCATCATCGTCTTCTTCTTCTTCTTCTTCTTCAGATTCTTCAATTAATAATTCATTGACATAATATTAAATTCATTTAAATAGAAAATGCACTGTACAATACAATATATCGATTGTACGAAAACACAATGGTGGCATTATTATTTAATTAATTTATTCATTTTTTAACCATTTTTGTTGTGAAATATTCCAATAAATGTTTCCTTTTTTTTCCTTGGTTGCACGTACAAAAGAGAAAAGAGCAACAAAATAGAGATAGCAATAGAAATATTTTCATACTGTTCAGGCATCACTTACAATGAGTGCCTTTAGTGTCATACGCACTGGCGTTGTTGTGCTGTTTGGTAGTTGCACGCGAATCTTGATACTATTGCTGATGTGCATAGCGTTCACTGAAAGTTTTTCGACATTTCGATAGCCATCGATGTGCAATCATAGGCAAATTTATTTCTTTTGAATTATTGCGAATTCTGATGATTTGTCGTGAATTTAAAAATTTGCTTTGATGAAATTTCTTTTTCTGATGATTTGTCCCGAATCTAAGAATTCGTTTGGAATCCTTAAAATTATTTAGTTAAAATTCCATGGAGATTCACGAGTTTTTGAATCTTGTTTCGAATAAAAACTAGGGATTCAAAGATTAGCGAGTTTCCATGGCATTTTACATGAAAATTCGTAGCGAATTATTCAGATTTGCAATGATTAAGAAGAGATAAATGTCCCTCGATAGAATCACATAAACATTCAGATCACATGAACTGGAAACACATTTTGTTGATATTTCTCTCTCTCTCTCTCTCTCTCTCTCTCTCTCTCTCTTTCTCTCTGGGATGTTGTTGTTTCTTTTTTGTGTTCTTCTTGTGCAAAATGGAAAAAAAGTTACGAACGAAAACAATTCTTCTTTAAAATTTCTGTTAAACAAGTTCGATCGACGATGTAAATGAGAGTTCTCGTTGATTCGGATCGAAATGGCATGGGGCCCAAAGTCAAGGCTGTGGTGACAGATCTGACTCAGGGCCAGAAGAGATCCCATCGAGAAAAAAAAATTGTATTTTACATGCATACCATTTTCATTTACTTTACATACCCATAATCGCTTACTTTTTGTTTCTTTAAAGTTTTTTTTTCTTTCTATTCTTTGTTTTGCTTGTGAAATTATTACCATTATTTCATTGGTTTAGCTCTCTTTATATCCGATAGATTAATACTATTAGTATTTGTTTTTTGTTTTTCTTCTTTGTTTTCTCTCTTTAAATATTTATTCTCTAATTTTTTCCTTTTATATCGTGGAATTTGCATAAAGAGGAAAAAACTGGGTAAACATTATGACAGGTAGATATCACACATTTTTTTTTATAGCCAAGAAACGATTGTATCGGTTATAAATTAGAAAATAAAACAAAAAATAAAACTCTGAACGAAACTTAACACAAAATTATAAATAATTGTACGAACGAAGGTTTTTTCTTTAAAACGTTTAAATAAATAGGATGGATCAAATACGAATATTATATAACAGCAAGGTTTCGGAATTTTTCACTTCGTCACAATTTTTTTTTGTCTGTGTGTAGGGGTGGGGGGCTCCATTAAATTAACAAAATTACATCGAAATTGCACCTTGATAACCAGAAGGAAATAAAAAACATCTACACATTGTCACCATCATCTTCATCTATTGCCCTCGGTTGGACTGTATTGCTCAATAGTTTCAGCTTTAAAAGCTGTATGTGTGTCATTGAAATTAGGCGTCATGGGTGTCCGACCGCGACATAGATATCATAACACAATGACACACTGACGTGACGCCAGAGAAAAAATGACCGTTTCCTTCGAAAAATGGTCGTTATGTACTGGTGACACGGTCTTGTTCATTTGAATGGTTCCGGTGAATGGATGAAAGGCAGTGAAAAAATCATTCGTTTTTTTTTTCTTTTCGGAAAGAAGAAAAAGGAGTGAAGAAGAATCGACAGTGGTAAAATTTGTTCAACAAGATTTTCTTCATCGTCTTTTTCATTTTCTATCCACCAAACAATAGATGGAGACAAACAATGACAAACGCAAATTAACGGTTCGCTAAAATGAACAAAATTAAAAGAAAAAACTACATAGATAGATCTTAGGCCCGTATCACACACTCACACAATTTGCTAATTAGTTCGACACTAGAATAATTTGGTTTTTTGTTTTAATTTATTGGGTGTTCATAATAAATTTGTGTTTCATTCTTATCTTCAATATTATGTTCAGGTTCTCTCAACGTTCATAATTCATTTGGGTTTTTTTTCTCGTTATAATTTGGTTTTTATGCTAAAAGTGTTCTTTTTTTTGTGTGTTAAATTTTAAGTTTTTTTTTGTGGGAATGGGAGGGATGGTGTATGTGTGTGTATGAGTGGGTGTATTTCGTAAGTTCCCTTGATACACAATTTTCATTATGGTGCTTTTTTTTGGTTAATGTATTATTAAATCTGTAATAATTTGCATCAACTTGCATTCGATGGTTGCAGCAAGAATCGTGTTATCATTATTATTGTTGCTGTTGTTGAGACATCATTCTCATGAAGTGTGAATTCCAATTATTAGAATTTTTATTTTGTTTGTTGCTGATTGCTGCTGCTGCTGCTGCTGCTGATTTTTTTCCCTTCCGTTCTATCTCAATTTTTTTACACGCTTTTATATTTCAATTTCACAATTTCAACTGGATGAGGACGTTCCAGAAATGTTTGTTCTGTATTTTGTTCGTCGTGTTCAACTTTTATTTGGGTCAACATCAAAAGTTTTATGTAAACCACTTTAAATGATCATTGTATCAAGCGTTGTTGCGTGTTTTTTCCCTCTTCTCTCTCCATCTCTCTATCTCGAATGTGTTGATTGAATGCCAAAATGTTGAATTTTCCACTTTAGCGAAATTGTCCGTTGTTTGCTGTAAATCTTATCAAAACATATTTGGTTGTGTTGTTTTTGTGTGCATTTTTCTCCCCTCTCTGTGCTGTGCTGTTGTTCGCTCTCGAAATAAACATAATTTTGTTGCAGTAATTGTGCCAATGTCAACAGTCACACCACAAAGCGAAGGGAGAGAGAGTGAAGGGGTTAGAGATGGCAGAAATGCCAGCTTGACACCGATCGATTTAAAGTGATATTGCCGTGTGATTGAAAATGTCATGAATCACATTTTCAGCTCTGTATTTTTTTTTCATTTCTGGAATTTATCTGCACCGTTTGTTTCGTGTTCTGTGTGTTTTTTTTTAATCTGACGTTGAAATATGAAGTGTGTTGTTTTTTTCGTTCGGTAAAGTTGTGCGTGCGTGCGCGCAGTAAATATTGCGTCCGTAGTGCATTTAATTTGTGTTCAGCAATATTTTGTTGTTGTTTGGGTTTAATTTGGTATTTCTCGTTATATTTTCTAATTATATCATCTAATATATTTTTGTTAAATTTTTTTCTTTGCCTTTTTATTTAAATTAGTTTTTCCACTTTATGCCTTCCATTTGAACTTGGTACGATTTTTCTTGCTTGGTGAATTTGACTAGCTTACTATATATACTAATCGTGCTTTTGTGAAGTTTTTGGTTGGTTGTTGTTCTTGTTTATAGTTATAGTTAAATTTAAATTAGATAATCCGTGGTTGTGTTGTTGTTTGTTTTGTTTTGTTGATTTTTTTTTTCAAATGAATTTCTAAGTTGGACTTTCAGATTTTGAACCGGACGCTGAGACGCCTTCTATTTGCGCAATTGCTTTAAATAACGGTGAGTTCACAAATCTAGAACGAGATAAAAAAAAACAGGAAAAATAGGGCAAATCAATGATTGCATTTGATCGAAGGTGGCGATGTGGAGTGGTGATGAACAGTCACAAACCGGCGGTAGTTTTTGCACAATTTTGGTGTTTTCTTGTACAAACCCACCGACAATCTTACCTTGGATACGAATCTCTATGCATTAATGTATAAATTTGTAGTTGAGCCTCGTCGAATGTATGTGGCGTTGGTTCTACCATATTTCTATTAACTATTTCTCTAACCCGAGAATCTAATGATACCTGCAAATAGACATATATTTTTTTTATCAGAAATTAGTCAATGGGCATTTTGAATTAAGCAGTTAATGACTTATTGAATATGCAAAATTTCTAAAGCGTTATAGCTATTGACGCATTTGCCGTATTCATAGGCATTTGTACAGCATTTGCACAGCGATTGTCTGTGTTATTGCTGTTGCTTCGCCTCATTCGTATATACAAATACGCATGTATCTTTTGGTATTCATTTGCCGTATTCGCAATATGTATATTCCATTGGCAGCTAGTTGTGGCCGTTGTTGCTTTCGGCTTTCATTTACCATATTTCCATAAATTTGTTCTCGTTATAACCCCTTAGCAAAATTCTCTTGTACTCAAAAAGAAGAAAATCGCTTCGGCAGAAAGTTTTCATCAGGAAGAAACGGAATATTATCCCCTATTGCATACAGTCACACATAAATTTCAATTGTTCACCATTCTTGCCAACATTCTGCTCTGGAAAAGCAGAGAATGGACCATTTTCTTTTGAACAAATTTCACAATCAACTGAATGATAACAACAATTACCAATCGGCCGCTTAGGAAAATGAGCCTTTATGCTGTATTTTTGTTCCAAAATGCATCAACAGTTCATTGTTTACTCAGAATGTATTGAAATTGTGGGTATTTTTTTACATATGTATACTCTATTATCAATTCAAATATTTCGAAGTCTCAATGGCTTCAAATTGCAAAAATTCAACTGTGAACTAGTTTCCATTTGAATAAAGCTTCAAAATAGATCAAAAAAATAAATTCAAAGATTCCGAAAAGATGCATAGCTTCGGAACATTTAAAGAAATTTGTGAAAATGACAAAAACTAACTTCGACGAGTTGTGGGAAAAAATTGACGAAAGTTGTGGAAAAATAGATTTCAAATTAAAAATTCGTTTCGATTTCGGTGCTTAAAGATATAATTCGGATCTTCGGAAATCGAAGTTCATTTCAATTTGGTTTCATTTTACTTCAAATCTATTCCGATTCCAATTTTTCGAAATAATTTTTTTTATTGGAAATTTAGAAGAAAATCGATGCAGTCGAGGGATAATGATAGTACACAGACAAAAAACTAGTGTAGCGATTCTCCAAAGTGTAATAATAAAAAAAGAACAATCTAAAAATTGAATAAAAATGGAATAAAATGCACTGTCAATCAGCTACTTACTTCTTTTGGTGACAATATCGATATATAATCCTCATAAATAAATCGCGCTTTTTCTTCGATTTTTTCGGCATTTGTTTCTACTTTTAGCTCTTCACAGGCCAACCAAAATAGTATATTCTCTTCGCTATATTCGCAACGAAGAAAATCGCGAAACACCTTACGACCGGCCGGGCTTCGCATCAATTTATCAAAACTTTTACCCCAACTCCGGATTTCTTCCAATGTGGGCCTATCAAATACAGACATTTCACTGATTTTTTTAATTAATCATTGTCGTTCCGAAATGAAATGAATAAAAAGTGACTCATTAAAATGATAGTTTAGCATTTGGATCACTTACTGTTCACCGTCACATAATAGCTCCGAACTGGCTGGGTCTCTTCTCGTTGGACCATTGTCTTCTGCATTTTTGAGTGCCGCACTGCATATATTTGGTGTGAAACGAACGAGAAAACATAGAGAGAGAGAGACAATAGATAGGGTTAATGAATATAATTCCATCGCAAATAAAAAAAGTAAATCGCTCAAAATTAAACTATTCGCTTCATACACATACATCAAACCAAGCAAAATTAGTTGAAATTTTTTTGCATCTAACGAAAAAATTGATTTTTCTTCAGTCAAACAAGCAAACACACTAACACACACGCTCAATTTGTTATAGAAAACTTCGATTTAATTTTTGTAAAATTAAAAAGAAAAAAAAATTCTACCAAAATTTCACAAAGAAATGCACTCGAGGAAAGATCGCTAAATTTTTCAAAGCGTTGGTTTGCATATTGGTTAGTTTAAGTCCATTGATGCGAGAAAAAACAAAAGAACGAGAAAAAAATGCCTTAAAAATGAATGAATTCAACTGAAATACCGTCGACTGAATAGAGTCGTTCAACGCTCATTCAAAAAAAAAATGCGAGCAAAAAAAACCGAACGCTTTGTTTATACTTCGTTACTCTAGACATACAAAAAAAAGCACGAATGCCCATACTATCAACTATCGCAATTTACATATATGATGACGTCTTTCGGTGCGTGACGTTGTTCCCATATGTTCTTTTTTGTTCGGTTGTTGTTTGACGTCTTAATTTCTTGCACGTTTATTTTTTTATCTCGTTCTTTTTGCCTTTCATTTGCTCTTTCGCCTCTTAATGTGTGTGTTTTGGGCCACGCTGGATGTTTGTTGTTGTTCGAGTGCGTGTCGTTCGCCGCCGCTAAATTCATTCATGCAATCTTAATCGAAGTGGATGAATAGCATTTTGACTTAATCTGTTTATATATTTTTCATCTTCATTCAAACATTCGGAGCATAGACAATTTCAATACTTCATTCAAGCCGAAGACCAATTCAATCGTGTGTTGTTGTTTTTTTCAACGACAATACGGGAAAAACACACACAACACACGGACGTATCTCCAATGAATTGGCGCATTCAGCGAGAAAGCGATTGGTATGAGTAGTCGGCGAACTGGGAATGAAAGATGATGAAAAAAAGAAGAAGAAGAAGAAGAAAAACGAAAAACAACAGCATACCAAAAAGTCATTGATCATGTGCGTCACTCGCGCAAAAATTTCGATCGCTCTCTCTCTCTCTCTCTCTCGCTCTCTCGCTCTCTCGCTCTCTCTCTCTCTCTCGCTCTCTCTCTCTCTCTCTCTCTCTCGCTGTTCTATTCGCATTTCTCATTCCTCAATGATACACGTTTTTACGCACACTTGGACATGTTGGTCGCGCGCGCGGCAGCTCCGACCAGAGCAAATTTTCATTCATGAACAAATCGGGCGCGCTCTCTTTCGCTATTTTCGTCTGCTTACCTCTGTATATACGAATATCGCACCATCATCACCCAAACACACAAGTGGAAGAGCGCATTATCAATGGATTTTCGGTGTGTGTTCAGCTGAGCTGAGCTGAGCTGAGCTGAACTGAACTGAACTGATTCGTCGTCGTCGTCGTCGTCGTCGTCGTCGTCGTCGTAGTCGTTGTCGTTGTTGTGGTCGTCCTCGTCGTCATTGCTGGCTTGAACCGAGTGCAATGCCGAGAAAAGGAAATTCAATGTGATTCGTTGCTCATTTTCATTATTTACGGCATCCCATCAACACAATCCCAATACAAAGCGGAATAGATGTAAACACCAACAACAAAACAGCGCACGTATCGCTTAATCGCAATTTGCTAGCCGATGATGGTGTCGATTCGAAAATACTTTTTTTGTTCGCCGTTGTTGTGTTGTTAAAAGCTAAAAAGATACCTTAAGCTCAGTAATTTACAAGAAAATGGGGTCAATTTTTTTTATCGGTGTTTCGTATTTCTTCTCGTTTCTTTTCCGCTAAAATTTTTGGATACGTCTGCTTTGTTTTTAAGTTGACCGAAGCCGAAACCACCACTTCCATCGTTCCCCGTCTCTTTCTCATCCCATAAGTTGATTACGATTCGAATAAATTTTGTGATGACAACGACAAAGCATCGCCACTTGAAAACGACTGAATGTACGTGAAATGAAATGTTGAATTTTCGATGTGTGTAAATGAACGTGTGTGACATAAATCACATAGCCAGTGTATGCATACAGAAAAGCACATACATTTAGTTTGGATTTAAGAGAAGCGAAGAATGCAGAAAAGCTCCAGAGAAACCATTTTTCCCCCTTTTCTTGGCTTCGTTTAGACCAAGCTGAATGGACTGAAGAAAAGACGCACATCACTTGTGAACGATCTTACCACAATTGCGATGTAGCGCGCGAATACAGGTCTTGACAGTCTTGGGAAAAACAACGACGACGACCGACGTTCCACATTTTGAGCGCGTGTGTGTGTGTGTGTGTGTGTGTGTGTGTGTGGCTGTGGATTCATGCTGTGTGCTAAGAAGCAGCGGTTGATGTTGAAGGAATATGGCAAATTTAGTTCAATTCATCATACACACCACCGATGATGATTGCCACGCATGCGTTCAATTATGCACAAGATACGCTTTTTTTTCCTTCGGTTTCTTTGAAAGAGTAAAAGAGAGAGTAGCGCACCACACACACAGCTTACAACACACACACACACACACTCGATTTCCACCAGGCACCCCAAAACCACCGTAATTGACCGTAAATGCGTTGTTCGAGAGAAGAAAATAGCAACAAAATCTGCACATTTTCAAAACTATCCGTCACAACAGCTGGATAGTCCAGATTGAAATAAGGCAAACGAATAAAATGCTCGGTCTCTCCCTTTTTCTTTTCGCTTTTTGACTCTTTTCTACATTCTCCTCCTCTTTTTTGTCTTATTTCTTTGATTCTCTTCTCATTTTTCGCCACTTTTCGTTTCGTTTTTATTTTCGATTCGACTTCTTTCTTCGCGCCTTTGATGCTTCTCTCTCACTCTCTCTTTCCATGTCTCTCCTTTTGTCTTTCATTTTTTTTTTCAGATTTCATTCGCTGCTGAGTTATTCGGATCTCTTTTACACTGTGGCGTTCGTTGTCACACTCCCGTTGCACTTGCTATCACTTCTCAATGTGTCGCAATTTTGCACCTTTTCAAGATAAGAGGCACATTTGTCGGCGCGCACGCTTTGAATATCTCGGTTTGCATATCGTTTATTTTATGTAGTTCATTTTCATGCATATCTCTTTTGTTTATCATTTTGAGGTGTGCAATTCTAGGTCTCTTCTCTTTCTGTCTTTCCCTCTTGATCTTTCACGCTCTTTCTCGCTTTGTTGGCAAAATCGAGCAGGTGAATACTGATAGTTTACAGAACAGATATATAAATTTTGTATTACAAAAACGCCTTTCTGTGCATGTATACTCTCTCTGGGTGCATACACACACACACACACACACACACACACACTCATACACTCACAAACACAAATGACAACTATTCCAAGCACTCAAATCGCATTTTCACCCAGTTTAACACATTTCTAACTCCAAGTCATGTACCTAAATTCATACGAAAAAAAAATCGACGGCGAAAAAATGCGGCGATGATGGTGGGATACAGCGCGCGAAAAAAAAGAGTGCCTCGGCTAAGAGACTTATTCGTAATGCTCTTTTATGCTTTTAGCAAATAATCCGGATTCAATTAGTGTTTTCCGTTTTGCCACACCGTACAAATGCCAAACGAACAATGCGACACAACAATCTATTAAATGAGAAACGAGCCACAGCACAAAACTCAACCGAAACCGAAGTACGATCAACGAGAGAGAGAGAGAGAGAGAGAGAAAGAAAAAAAGTCCATAGAGAACGAGCGTTTATTCTCATTCTCGCTTTATCTCTCGGGACAGCAAACGGGCTGAGAGGAGAGCATGTGAAAGCAAAACAAGAAAAAAAGTTTTGTGATTGCAATAATAAATTCGCATTTAGAATATGAACATTGTACAATGTATAAAGCGTATACACATAAGTTTGAAATTGATTCAACTTCACAACGGCCACATAAATGCTTTTAATTCAATTTAATTTGAGGGCATGCGGTTCTTGTTTTTTTTCTCTACTTTTTCCTTTTCCCCTACACCCATCGTCGTCGTCTTTATGGTTGCTGTTCGCACTCAACGCTCTCAAAATGGCATGGTTTTGATTATTATTCAATTTCATAACATTGAAAGCATAAATGGAAAATTATCTGCTTCCATTTTTTTTTCTCTTTCTGTAGCAACAGCAGTAGCAATAACGAAGAGAAAAAAAGAGTCACCACTCCAGGATCTTGTGTTTATGATTTTTTTTCATTTATTTCTCTCCCTGTCTTACTTTCTCACTCACGCTTGGTCATCATTTTCGCATTTGTTCTAATCTACACATATGAACGAAAAGTATTTGAATGGGCCCTGTTGCTCTGGATCCATTAAACAAAAACAAATCATCATAATTTAATTCAGTGCTAAGCTTGTGCGTGCATAAATGCGATTTCGACGGATAGTTTTCATTTGTAATGCTCCTTCTCATTTTGTGGAACAACAAAAAAAAAGCAACACGGCTGTCGCCGAAATTGTCGTCGTTGTCGTTGGAGCGCTCTGTTCACCCACATTTACTTTGTTGGCGAACACCCCGCACTCGTGTTCTGGGGAAGCGCCCAGAACAAGAATAAATTTAATGCCGCTTTTTCTTTCTAGAACACTTATGATTATTCCACATATTCAGCGCACGTTCACTTGCTCGCACCCTCGACAAAAAAAAAACGATACATTTGTAGTGAATGTAATCTGCAATCGCAGGCCCGTTTTCACAGGAAAAAAAACACGAAACTTTTACCACGCGATTCAACAATTTTTTTTTTTGATCAAATGGTACGAAATGCTCGTTAGTTTATTAGACTTTAAATACATGTGTGTATGTATGCTTGGGTGTATGTGCCAGCATGAGCAATGTCATTTTCAACCAATTACTTATTCACATCCACGAAAAAAATAAAATTGACGTCATTCAATTATTATTATACA